TGCGGATGTCGCTTATTATTGTTGGCCTTGAGTCACATGTGATAACTTATATACCTTTTTCCACTGCTCGGCTGTTTTGCAAGCTCCTCCAGCTGCGTTAAGCTCCACAGCAACGGCTTCCCACACATTGCGGTTGTGCGAGGCGCTATTTGGACCGCCAAAATTACCCATTGCCACCTTCTTGTTGTTTTTCATTAAATCCAGAAGTTTTACTTTCTGAATTTTTGTAATTTTCCCACTTCTAGTTTTTTTCTGCAAGATGAAATTAATAAAATAAAGAAACTTAAGATATTTATAAGCACACACTTCACTCATTTTCCTTTTTGCGCCAAATATCACAACACTTAGAGCTGGCGATATAAATATCGCAAGGTATATCGAAAATTCATTTACACCTCACTTACAGAAACACTACCTTGCGATAACTATGCAGTTGGGTTGCATTTTGCGATATAATTCATATCGCTAAGATACAGAAACGGGCTACTGCACACTTGTCGTTATCGGCTAGTTATCGGCAAATCGTAGAAGATGCAGAAACGGATAAGTACGACAATGTCGTTTGCTAATCGTTGTGCACGCATTGTTTGTTTACATTTTATGGGGAAAACTTAGTGAAAAAGTTAATATTTGCATTAAAATTGCATAAAAATTAGTATTTTTTCCACAAAATGTGTGGAAATTATTAAAAAGTGGCATTAAAATTTAATAAATGTGAGCGTTTTAACTATAAAATATGACGCAATTGTAAAAAGTCTCTGTGTGCATGCACAAATCACATTTCAGGAAAAGAAAATAAGAGATATTACTGAAAAATTATGTCTAGTATTGTTGCATCACAGTCTGTATTTTAAAAATTGCAGGTTTTTGTAAATATTTCGCGAAAATATCAACCAGAAAAACAGCGGCTCTGCTGGCTTGGCCATATCGTTCGAATGGACACCGACGCTCCAGCTCTGAAAGTATTCAACTCGGAACCCGCTGGTGGTAGCAGAGGAAGAGGGAGACCCCCACTGCGATGGAAAGATCAGGTGGAGAAGGTCTTGGCTTCACTTGGCGTTTCCAATTGGCGTCAGTTGGCACAGAGGAGAAACGACTGGCGTGCTTTGCTGAACTCGGTCAAAATCGCTTAGGCGGTTACAGCGCCAAAAAAGAAGAAGAAGAAATGAATTGAAATATCGACCGAGTGTGCGAAAGCGTAGTCATCATGTAATCGTTGCATTATGATTGTGACGATGAAGCAACTATGACTGGACGACCAATGTGCAGAAAGCCTAAGTAGACGTTTTCCTGTCAAAATTTGCGGAGCAAATACAAAAGTGGTCTTAATTTAAAGAATATGCTTCCCAATCAAAGGATATTTCGAGATTTTTCGATTTTGGATGATACAATCGTCTTGTCCTCAATGACGTTGATGTGAGTATTTATACATTCCCGCAAGCAGGTCTTCTCAGCAGCAGTCCAATTAACTTCACGAATTCTTTTCACTTCCTATAAAAATTAAATTATTTACGTTAATAAATTATATTTTACAAAAATTTGTTATTTACTTACAGTTTGCTGCGCCATTTTCAAAATTATTTATAAAAGTCAGTTGTCACAGGGTGAACTTGCTAAAATAACAAAGTTTTCCTAATGCCGATTGGTTACGTTTTTCATTTTATATTAATGGCCCTGCTTTGTGTCAATCTAGCAAAAACCTGCCTCTAACATGTCTATAACTGACTAAAACTTAAAGCCTGCTCTAAACTTAAAGATTAATTTTAACTAGAAGAGGTTTTAACTTTCGACTATAATTACGGGCCTTTAATTTTAGTAATTACTAACAGAGCACCCGACGTCTTTCGGTGTATACAAAGAAAAATATAAAGCCGTAATACAAATATTCAGTTCAGCATAATTTAAAGGAGACAAACTATTTTCTTTGTTTACATTAAAGCATCCTTATGAGCCATACTTTTAGCTTTATCGTTTAACTAATATATATTGATCATCACTTGTACTACAAATCTTGTTTCATTATTAATATTAGGTATATTAAGGTAACGATCAAATTTCTAAATTAAAATTAGTCTACTACGGTACATTCCGTTTAGCTGCCTATTCGATTAGCTGTTTTAGTATAGCTGCACTCTTCTGGTAGAATGCTTAATTCGGGAGGAGTTTTTCATTATGAATGAACATTTTTCGTTTAACAGCATCGCGGGATTAAAAAACGATTTAATCTTCTCATTTCAAAATAATCTAAAGACGATAAGGTTTCAAAAAAAACACACAGTTTTAAATACCCGAGTTATCTAATAGATGAATACATATATGTATATCCCCTTTTACAAACTCATTTATATATACTTTACTCTGAACACCTCCCATAGATACCTATGTCTGAATACCAAATTTCAAGTTCAAGTGACATGCTTCCCAATTTATAGCTGATTAAAAATTCCACGCCTACGGGATGTGCCACGCCTCCTTTTATAAACTCATTTATATAAACCTTACTATAAGCACATACCATAGATATGTCTGCATACCAAATTTAAATTTCATGTGACTTATGGTTTTGAAGTTATAGCTGATACAATTTTTCCACGCCTATGGGATTTACCACGCCATCTTTTACAAACTCATTTATATCTTTTTATAAGCACCTACCATAGCTATACCTTCGTACCAAATTTCAAGTTCATGGGACTTATGGTTCCGAAGTTATAGCTTATAAAATATTCCACGCCTATGGGATGTGACACGCCCCCTTTTACAAACTCGTTCATATATACCCTCGTATAAGCACCTACCATTGATATTTCTGCATACCAAATTTCAAGGTCGTGGGACTTATGGTTCTGAAGTTATGGCTGATAAAAAATTCGATGCCTATGGGACGTGCCACGCCCCTTTTTACAAACTCGTTTATATATACCCTCGTATAAGCACCTACCATTGATATGTATGTGGCAACGCTTACACTACGTATTATTCTTGAATGCAAGCAACCCTTACATACCATTTTATTTTATAGTAGGAAGCCACACTCACATCCGTTTTCTCTCTCTTCTTTTTTACGTCAAACCAAGAAAACACGCGCTTTTCACAACTCAATAAAAATCATTATCTAAAACCTTTTTTTGAGTATTTTTTATAAAATATCAAACTAGGAATCATCCATAGTGGTGACCCCGACGTGATTTGAACACGCAACCTTCTGACGAACGTTATGGCGCAAAAGCCCGCAAGTGCAAAAGCCCTTGCAACTACAACACTCAGCAGTCTCACCAATGACGCCACTTGGCGGAAGCTACAGCGCCAGTAAGCGAGCAAGCTTCTGCAGTCATACACCGCCTTAAACTCTCCGACCCATTGCCTAGTCTCAATTTTTTGATTGATACAGGCGCAGACGTCTCCGTGATTCCAAAATGCTCAAAAAACAGCAATTTAAAACCAACAATAATGAAACTATTCGCTACTAACGGTACACCTATTAAAGTCTACGGTGAAGCGCTTCTCAAAGTCGACTTGGGTCTCAGGCGCGAATTCTTGTGGACTTTTTTGATCGCTGATGTCACATGTGGTATAATAGGAGCTGACTTTATAGCGCATTTCGATTTGTTGGTCGACTTACGGCGCAAACGTTTAATTGACAACTCAACTTCGCTGACAGCTAAAGGAAGAATTGTACAAGACAGCGCATTGACCATTAAAACGTTTGACACCTCTTGCGCCTACAGCACGTTATTAAAAGAGTTTGCTTGTTTAACGCAGCTGGCGCAACTCGGAAGTCCAGCTAAGTCAGCAGTGGTGCACCATATTGAAACTCGTGGTCCGCCAGTCTTCGCGCGGCCCCGACGCCTTCCACCAGATAAATTGGCAGCCGCCAGAGCGGAATTTGACAGTTTATTGAAACTGGGTATATGCCGTTTGTCGAGCAGTAACTGGGCTAGTCCACTCCACATGGTGAAAAAGGCGGACGGCTCATGGCGCCCTTGTGGGGACTATAGAGCATTGAACGCGATAACGATCCCGGATAGGTATCCCATACCCTATCTCCAGGACTTTACAAGCAACTTAAATGGTAAAAAGATATTCTCGAAGGTCGACCTACAAAAGGCCTTTCATCAGGTTCCGGTGAATCCTGCTGACATACCAAGACCGCTATCATAACACCATTCGGGCTGTTTGAGTTTGCGTAC